GCCATAAATAAAACACAGTCACCAATCCTAAAACACCATATGAAAAGGTGCGGCCAACACCCTCCTGAAGATGTATGCAACCAGTATTACAGAGCAATATACACAAATGCTTTGATTAACAAATATTGATTGGATTAAGAAATAATCATCGGAATAGATGCAAATGGTCATCAGCAGAGATATACAGTATGTAAAGATTACCCCTTTTCATTGCCTATTGTTCTATATATATGGCGCTGTATAGTTGATTTAAAAAGTATTTTAAATTCAAAGAGTGACATCTGCTGGCCAATGTTGACAATGCAACACATCTGTACTGTCACATTTTTTTCAATTTTAGTTTTGGTACTTTGAGTATATTTTGTTTTTACATTTTCATTGCAGGACTTTTACTTGAACCAGAGTATTCCTAAACTCTGGTACTACTCAAGAACAAGATATGAGTACTTCTCCGACCGTTGGTTTGTAAATGACCCTTGATTAATAAAGTTAAAAAACTCTGATGCTGAATGCTTGCAGAGGTGCATGAACTCTGCAGCTAACACTCAGCTGCACCAAAGCTAACAGTCCTGCAACAAACAACAAGTATGTGAAGTGTCACAGCTAAGACCAACCATAAACTGTCACCTGAGTGTAGTTTAATAAGAAAAGTGAATACCTTTACACGACGTCGGAGGGAAGAAGCTCAGCGATTGGACCAAAGTCAGTTCTGCTGCTCAAAATGATTGGATCTGCTGAAAGACCCCCTCACGACCCCCTGGTGACATAACTACTGCAAACACTGCATGGAGGTAAAAGTAGAAGTGTGTAGGAATACTCTGTTACGAGTAAAAGTCCTGCATTCAAAATGTTACTCAAGTAAAAGTACAAAAGTATTAGCATCAAAATATACTTGAAGTATGTACAATTACTCATTATGCAGACCGGAGTACTGAAGTAAATGTACTCAGTTACTTTCCACCACTGACTGTGCAACCAACCAACCATACGCTTTCACAAACGTGTACTAAACTAAGTAGATTTAGAAGTACTGTACTTAAAGGGGACCTATCATGCAAAATGCATTTGTGTACGTCTTTTATACATGAATATGTGTCCCCAGTGTTCCAGGGTACTCACCAAGTGTCAGAAAACACAACCCTCTCTATTTTCCTCCATACCCAAATCTCTAAAAAAGGGCCTGCAACGGATCTGATAAAAACTGATCCAGATTTGAACACTGTCCTGACGTCACGACAGTGGCGCTACGGCTATTGGGCCAACTCCACCAATCAGGAGGAGACAGCCACGGCCATTGCCGTTCGAAAGCGCTGGAGACGCTGTAGTACATATACCAGGCCTGTAGATGGTGCTGTTCTCACATAATCTGCCCTTGCAAAAACAGAGCTAAAAAATGTCAAATTGAGCAAAATGAGGCATGGCTAAAATGCATGATCTGTTTGGTATTTTGAAAAAAAAAAAGTATAAATATGCCTTATATAGGTATGGTCCTACACTATATTATTCAAATATAGCATGATAGGTCCACTTTAAGTACTTACTTGAGTATTTCCATGTTATGTTACTTTGTACTTCTACTCCACTACAATTCAGATGTAAATACTGTACTTTTACTCCACTACAGTTGTGTAGTATCTTTAGTTACTTTGCAGATCTAGATTATTGATAAACAATAGGATCGTCACTTAAATCAGACTTTAGTTACACCTGGAGTCAATTCACAAGCTACCCTGAAGTAAATTAAGTAATTAAAATGAGTTCCACCTCTGATTTTTTAAGAAGTACTCAGATCGTGTACTTAAGTACAATTAAAAGTGTGCAGGAATGCTCTGTTACAAGTAAAGAAGTCCTGCAATAAAAATGTTGAAGTCTGCTCTGATTGGTTAGCTGGCTGGCTCTGTGAAGTGTATTTTTTGGATTATTCGTACAAGTATTAAATGCAGACACAACCCACTGTTTCTGGTTCTCTCTTTTAACAGAACACTTGTAAGCAAACACGTGTTGACAGTTTTAAGTGTACCATCGGCTTATATCATTTAATAAGTAAGAGATGTTATTGCTCAGGTGCAAGGACACACCTGTAGTGTTAGTCACACCGCAAACAGGCAGGCGTGGTTTCTTAAAGATTGTTTTAAATCAATATAAAGTACTTATTGGCTTTATTGTAAAATAAATCGCACATACACTAAAACATCTGATAGTTTTGCTACAATTTACAATTATAATCCTTTAAGTAGATATCAATCTTTTTTCTAAAGTATGACCTTTCAAGCAGGTTTAAAGTTAAAGCTCCACTGCAGTTATCATAAAATAATGTTTCATCCCTTAAGACTTGAAAATAAAGAACTGGGTATATGCCATACATGTTAGATCATATCATTTATTATAATAAATCAGTTTATAAGTATTTTGTATTTGTAAGAGAAGTGGTTCTATTATGCACGGATTAATAGATGAGGTATTTGGGAGTTTCCATCTCGTGATATGTGTGTGTATTGGCTGCAGTTCAGCCTGCAGAAAGCACCCTGTTGAACAAGTACTGTCTGTTGTGTAAGTACTATACCTTTAAGAGTTTGAGTCCAAATAAAAGACAGCGATATTCTGGCAAAATATATATAACGGAGATAAGAAAAAGCAAACTGGAGCATTCAAATAAGACTGAATAGCAATGTTTCACTGGCAATCTGAAACTTAGTAATATGATGACTAGAGAGGGTTAGAACATCATGCTATTTATAACTCATCTTTGGCACAGCAGATCATATCTCTGAATGTTGGAAGATATACAGCTGTCTAGACACACACATGACACAGCCCTTGAGTGTATTGTGGCCTTTGCTGGCCTTTCGTGTGGGCTAGCAAAGTACATTAAAGCTAAACTCTAGAAAAACAAGAGAGACAATCAGCTGCTCTGTAACAGGACTTCAGCCCGTCATAATCAAGGTGTCAGGTGAAACTTGAGATAACATATGTACCTAGTATTAGGCAAACTTTTTTTATTTTCAAGGTAATATATGCAACGTATCTGCACAAATGTCTCAACCCAGATGTATTTGGAGTCCTGGAGACCATCTGTGTAAAATTGTTTTTTGTTCTGATATCTAAAAAAATATGTTCTCTTCTTTCAAACATGTTTTGACTGACGACACATCTCAGAAATCTACACAAATGAAGCATTACTTCACTGTAGGGTCCTCAGCTACACAATTTATTTTCTATGCGTTATGTGTGATGGTTGTTATCAGTACTTTTTATATAGCACTACCCTTCAAACATCCCAAGGTATTTGCATTTATGTAACAGGGTTTGCTCTGATACCTCTCGGGTGTGTAACTGAACACATTATCACTCTGTATGATAACAAACTGTACATGTCTGTCTGTGAATGACATTTGACAAACAAAAGGAACCCTTTTTGTCATACATGCAGGGCCGTCCCTCCCTACAGGCCAATCATGCAGGCTGCATGGGGCCTCACATTGCGCAGGGGGCCTCGCGCAGGGGGCCTCGGCTTATGAGCTCGGCTTGTGCGCAGTTCTCAGCCCAGTTCTCAGCCCAGTTCTCAGCCCAGTTCTCAGCGCAGTTCTCCGCGCACCCCCCCGGCTGACATGCAAGAGTGAGAGGTGACAAGGGGAGCACATCTGTAACCCGACGCCATTGCAATTAATCGACATCTGACCAATCACGGCTTTGATACGGCCACCAGTGCAGGTGAAGAGATGTCGGCGAAAAGACAGTTTCAGTCCGGCGCAAGCAAGAAGGAAAAAAAACAAGACATGAAGAAACTAGAAAGGTGGGTTATTGTATGAGTCAAATGTACAACTTTTGCCAATTGCCATGTTAAAACATCAGCTACAATTCACGACATGAAGAAGGCAGTCTCTGCATAGCATATAGGCTAATGGAGATGCAGTTATTTCCAGCATTCTTTATTTACCATTCATTCAAGTATTTTATGCCTTTTTTTCTGCTAATGCAGGCTACAGGAGGAAGAGTGATAAACTATCTGTCTAGTTGGCTTACATAACAGTTAAAGTGTACAGCTTAAAAAACATGGAGCATTTTTTCCCCTTTTATTAATTCTTATGTCAATTTGCACATTTCATGGTGATGCTCAGCCTCTCCCCTTAACTCCTAACAGTCATCATCATGTCAACCACAACACAGAGAAATACTGATAGAAATGTGTGTGTAGTTGTTGATACATTGCTGACAGAGGGAACTACATTTGAATACAGATTTAAGAAAAATCAGTTTTTGAGCATGTAATAAGCATGTTTTTGCTTGACTATATTACAACTATATTATAATAAAATAATATAGTATTTATATTATTGAATTGATTATGATTATTATTATTAGTAGAAGTAGTTTATTTGCATTAATTATATTTTAATCTTTTTGAGGCTAGTATTTGGCAGGAAATGCAGACGTATTCACCTGTAAACGCATACTGAACGACATACATGCACATTTACCATTTACCTCACTGTATAACAAAGTAACTGTGTTGATAAGAATAATAAACAGGAATTATATTTGCAAAGTACTTTGTCTCCAAACATTTTTGTTTCACTCCTGTCGGTTGGGGGGGGGGGCTCATCTCACAATGTCGCTTGGGGCCCCAAGTTGGCCAGGGACGGCCCTGCATACATGCCCCATTATATCACACAAAACATAAATACATAGTTATTTAGTTTGATACAGTAGCAATGCTTTTAGGTCCAATCTGTGGCAAAGGGAAGGTACAACTTAATATTTGTTCACTTACTGTTTTAAAAGTAGTAGAAAAAAAGTAGGTTAGTTTTCAAATAGCATTTATTTTATTTGTATTTTTGTTGTTGCATTGTATGTATAGATCCCAAACAAACAAGGGTGTTTTGTTCTGATTGTGTGTATTCTGTTTTAATAATTAAGCAGTCTTGTCCGTTTTTTCTTCATATTTAGTATTACATAATCCTTGTTTTCTCTTCCACTGCCACTAGGGGCACAGTGCATCCACGGCTGCAGACATTAAAAACACTGCCTCACAAATCTGACGCTCCAGATGTGTGTCTTCACCACGGGGTAAACTATGGATGATTTTTACCAATATCCGGTTTTCTTTGAGTGCCAGAGCCTTCTTCAGGATCAGATGAAGAAAATAGAGAATTATTTCCGTGTTCGGCGCAGATCAGGCGGAGGAGACTGCGGATCTCTGCGGAAAGTGACCGATCAAATCTACAGCATTTATTTTAGAAATCAGGAAGGTAGGCCATGAAACACAGCACAATGCTTATCAGTCATGTTTTCAATTATATATCAGATAACGGTCAGATGTCTGTTCTGTTAGAAGCAGCCTATGTTTAAACTATAAAATAGTCCATAACTGCGTCAACTCATTGATTTAATTTAATTTACCTTTATAATAAAATGATATTTACTGTCGAGAGTAAACATATGTCACATATAATATGACTCATATAATATGATCACACGGATTCAACATTGATTCCACGATCCGAACGTAAACAGGGAAACCCCTGAGTTTAATTTTCCCGAAAGCGAAACTTAAGACCTTCATGACTTCTGCCATTATGTGGTTGGTGCGCGTGCGCGTCCGAATATGTTGAACGTTGTTAAAATGATTCATACCGATATGAACAATTTGGACCAGTAATCATCTGAAAAAACGTGTACAATTCATATTTGAACTCTGGACTAGCTGGCTATTAAATTAGAACCAGCTGTTGTCTATATCAGAGGTGCAGGGGCGGATCTAGAAACAATATTCATACGGGTGGCAAGAGGGTGACAGGAGAATTTCAGGGGTGGCATCCCCTGGCAGAAGTATATGCTGATTTAATCGCAGTCATATCAATTAATGTTAACTTGGAAAGCCACAATATTTATATTTTAACTCAATAACATTTGTTGACATTATTGTGGCACATCAGTAAAGCCTTAAATATAAATATATAAGGTGGTAAAAGTAGAAGTACCAGAGTGTAGGAATACTCTGTTACAGTCAAAGTCCTGCATTCAAAATGTTACTCAAGTAGAATTACAAAAGTGTTAGTATCACAATACACTTAAAGTACTAATAAGTACTAATTATGCAGATTGGTCCATTTCAGAATAATATATATCATGTCTTGAATATAATTATTGATGCATTAAAGTGTTATCAAAGCTGGTAAAGGTGCAGCTAGTTTTAATGACTTTGTATACTGCAGGGTAGCTTGTGAATTTACTCCCGGTGTAACTAAAGTCTGAATTAAGACTTGATTATATTTCACATCATTAATCCAAATCTCTAAAGTAACTAATAGTATTTAATAAATGTAATGGAGTAAAAGTACACAATTTAACTCTGAAATGTAGTGGTGTAGAGGTACAAAGTATCTGAAAATGGAGATACTCATGTAAAGTACCTCAACATGTTACCTAAGTACAGTACTTGAGTAAATGTACTTAGGTACTTTACGCCTCAAACTATATTATTTTGTTGTCATTATCAGTCATGTTGAGATACTGTATTATTGGAACACACTGTGTTGGAGCGGGATCAACTTAAAGTAAAGGTTATTTTATTCTCTACCACGGAGAAAAAAAAGTGTCCTGTAGAAAGTTAAAATTGCTGCCTACATTACAATTAAAAACACATTAAATAAGAAAACATATTCAAACATAAACCTGATATTTAAACAAAACGTGTTACCATGTTATAGTTGCAGGAAGTTAAAGGTCCCATGTCATGGCCATTTCTACTGATCATAATTCCATTGTTGAGGTATACTAGAATAGATTTATATTGTGCAATTTTCCAAACTCACATTGGTTTCTCATACAGCATCTCTGTATAGTATGTGTATTCACTCTATGTCCTAAACGGCCATTTGGGTATGGGCACGTCACTGTACCCAGGAAGAAAACAATGGAAAAAGAGAAATCTCCAACGAGGCGTTCTGGGGCAGCATAGACAGGTCTTTTCTGTGTTAGAGTTTTACTCGCTACAGGGTGTACTTTGAGGGTTTGTGACTTTGCAGACCATTTACATGCATACAAACCTTCATAACACACAAGGGGACGAGTAATAACCGGAAAAGCATGACATGGGACCTTTAAGACATACATCTACAAAATATACACATATTATTATATATTAAGTTCAATTTTTACTTTCTCATATGGCAAAATAATAGTTCACTTTCAGCTTTTAACATAAAAGAAGTTGGAGAATGAGGAGAGTATGTATGTAGGTAAAGAAAATAGAGGATAAAGCAAAAACTAATACAACCCTCATCCCTATTTTCCTAGTGTCATCAAAGAAAATGCATATTTTCTTTGTTTGTTAATCAAGCAACTTCTTTCCCTCTAACCTCACAATAACTCATGTCACATTTGATTTCTTAGACCAGCAGGCAGTCCTGAAAAAGTCTGTTCATGATGTGGAGGATCTGGTGCTCACTGTCCGAGACGGCCTTGAACTTCACACATCCTCTCCAAACAAGAATATTACAGCCCCGGTACAGGTATTTTTTTTTTTCTATTTATAGTCTCCCACTTAATGAAGTTACTACTTCTACATTTGTAGATATGACCATATAAGTAAAAGTGTTTACATGTATATGACAACAGTCCACTGCAATATTTGAATTTCTCTTTTCAACACAGAGCCCACAGTCGATTCCTGTCTCAATCCCTCCATCAAGTGGTGAAAAATACGAACTACAACAAAATACTTTCCTCCTTCGTTACCTAAAGGAATGTCCCACAGCTTGGAAAAGATTAGAGAAAGAACTTGCCTCATTGTCCTGCTCTGCTCAGTTGTATCCAGAGGAAGGGAGGGTTTTAGTTAGCTTTTCAACTCAACCTGATGATGAAAATGATATTAGAGATTGGAAAGTGGAGGTTGACAAACACTTTGATGGCTACCTGTGCCACTGTGAGGTGGACCCTCACAAAGTTGTAGCTTTGCTTGAATCCAGGAACTCTCTTCAGACCACCAATGACGTTAAGGTCTACAGCGAGAATGGGATGGCTGTTGTTGTTGGGCAGCGTTCTCAGGTGAACGCCAAGTTAATGGATGTAGATGCCTTGCTTGGTAAACAAAGGCCACGGTTACTTGAGAGGCAAACTTGCATTTGTCGACTGGGCGAGGCTAAGCTTCGCCTCCTGTGGAAAGAGATTGAGCACACTTTGCAAAAAGACTTCCCAGGAGTGAAGGTCACACAGGGAGCTCCAGGTCAGTTGCATTTGGAAGGCTCTGTCGAGGATATTCTTAAGGCTAAAGATTGGATCTCTGATCAGGAGAAGTTGGTGTTCGAAAGGACAGTTTCTGACATGAGCCCACATTTGTTGGCCTTTCTAAAGAAGGCTTATAATGGTCCTGGTGTGCTAGGGGACTTTTTAGGGGTTGCTGGCAAGGTGGAAGTAGAGTTACGAGACACAGAGCTACGTTTCTTATCCCCTTCTGCCAATATTCTTGTTGAAACAGAAAAGGCACTGCAATGTGAGATTAAGGAAGTCAAGATTGATGTTCCGTACTGCTCTGCTGTGCCATCTGAGCTTCAGGAAAAGCTTAAGTCTAAGACAAAGGATTTGAACCAAGTGCAACACAGAGCTCAGGTCGTATTTGGCTCTGACAGCAGTGGGTGCTTACTGGGCCACACCAAAGAGGTTGAAGAGCTAAATGAAGTTGTCATACAGTTTATTTTGGATCAGTCTAGTGTGCAAAGTGTAGTCGATCTGCCTTTTGAAGAGTTAATGCATGAGTTACCAGCATTGCTGCAGCTGCATGGTTTAGATCATTCAGGGGTTACCTTTAATCCTTTAACATCTTCCTCTCGGCCCATGGTGGTGCTGGAAGGTCCATCCAGCAAAGTGACTGAGGTAAGGAACAGGCTGGGGCCAATTCTGGACTCCCTTGTTCAAGATAGACTCTCCATTGATAACAGAGTAGAGGTGATGTACCAGACAAGTACTGAAAACAGGGCACCAAGTGATCTGGGGTTCCAGATGGATGCTTCTGGCCAAGATGGAGCAAGAGGAGCCACTGCTGGAGCTCCTGGAGGGGGTGTCCATCTAGAGATCATTCAGGGAACAATCGAGACCCAACAGGTAAGAGAGTAAGCTGTGATTTTAAGAAAATGTTTCAATTCTGTTTTTTGATACAATTTTGTGACGATTAGCACAACGGTTTCTGGCAAGCTGTCAAAAATAGGTTATTGGGAGAATAGTTGCAACCTTAAAAAATGTTAAAGCATAAATGCATATAAACACCATAAGTAATACATTCAATGAGAAAAAACATCTTCTGCTCTCCTCTCAGGTGGATGCCCTGGTATCGCCCATGGTTTTTCATGATCCTCTTTCTACCCGTGTTGGAAACACTTTGTTCCAACATTTTGGAAACCAGCTGACTGCAAGGTTTAGAAAGGAAGCAGATGAAGAAACAATTCCTGGTGACATAGTCCTGGTGGAGGCTCTAGCTGGACTTCAATCTAATGCAGTCATTTTCCTCAACCTCGCTCCATGGAACGAGGATCCGGATGGAGCTGCAGTTGAGGTGAAACAGAGAAGCCTTTTCCATTGTCATTTTTTTTTCAGTTTCCCACACCATGAATCAGTATGTCTTTTGTTTACCCTTAATATTACTGTCTGTCCTTTTCAGGTTCTGAGAATGGGCATTAACAACATCCTAACTTCCTGTGAGGATAGAGGGTTTGGATCAGTTGCCCTCCCTGTACTCGGGGCAGGGATTGCCCTGCGTTTCCCTGACAGCCTGGTAGCGAGGGTTGTCCTGGAAGAAGTTTATGCTTTTGAACAGAACCGAGCCAGCGCGAAACCTCTCCTTGTCCGTATCGTCATCCACCCCGAAGACGAAGATTCTTTGGAGGCAATGGAAATAATTTTTACTTTAAACAGGATGCAAACAGGGCAACAATTGTCTAAAAAAACTTGCTCTATTTAGTGTGTCAAAAATATTTTTCGAAATCCCACATGTTTATACGAAATGGTGAAATGTACATCTCACAGTCAATTATTGTTAATCAGTATAATGACATGTATTTCTTAAACCATTGAGCAATAAACACAAGCTTACATTTTATATATATATACATATTAAACATAGTATATATATAATATACTGTACATATATTAAACATTTTGTCTTCCTTGTCTCTGCAGGCCTTCAAGTCTGCCCAGGAAGCTTCCCAACTCAAAGGATTCACAATGAGGATGAACCAGCATGAACAAGGTGAGTAAATATATCATGACAGATGAAGCAAAGAATTGGAATTCAGTACTGCGGCATGTTTTTCTTCACTGGTAACTAAACTAAGCATTTGTGAAACTCAAACTTTAGTGGTAAGATGTGTTCATAAGTTCATGTGTTAGCAAATGACTCCAGTTTCTGCAAATTATGCACAAAATAAATAGATAATAATAATTAATTTAATTTATTGGAGCGATTTTCCAAGTGCTCAAAGCGCTTTACATTACCTATTACACATATCAGACATGTAACAGTTATTACTGTGGCAATACCCAGAGGAGCAAATGAGGGTGAAGGTCTGTAGATGTATTCGTTTTATTGACTGCTGTGATAACCTTATCACCTTGTTATAGATAAATATGCAGGTTGATTCCCCACTTACATCATGGCAGATATGAGCAACCTCATGTAATCTTTAAGTAGTCATTTTTTATTTAAACTGCACACTATGTTTGGGTTACTGTTTCCAGAAAAGCCTAAGAAAGCGACTTTTTGAAATGTAATTAATGCAAACAAGCAGGAGACAAATGTACTGAACATAATTGTTATGTCTTTAGGTCCAACTCCAACAAGGATTGTCCTGCTGGGAAAAACTGGATCAGGGAAAAGCAACCTAGGAAACACCATATTTGGAGAGGAAGTGTTCACCACAAACCATTCTCCTAACTCTGGAACAGGGAAGTGTCAAGCAGAAACCAAGATCTGTCAACGGAAGAAGCCTCACTTTGATCGACACTCCTGGTTTCTTTGACGCATGCAAGTCGGAAAAGGACATGAAGCCGGAGATAGTGAGTTGTATCACAGAGTGCGCTCCTGGGCCTCATGCTTTTCTCATTGTGCTTAAAGTGGAGAAGTTCACAGAGCACGAGCAGGCTGTCATCACTAAAATATGCGAGTATTTCTCCAAAGATGCTTTAAAATATGCTGTGATTGTCTTCACCCACGGCGAACAGCTTCAAGGGAGGACAATCGAGGAATTTGTCAAACTGAATAAGAATCTGAGCGCTCTGGTGAAGAAGTGCGGCGGCCGCTGCCATGTCATGGATAATAGTCACTGGAAGAACAACCAGCAGGAAGAATACAGGAACAACCAGGTCCAGGTGGAGGAACTGCTCAACGAAATAGACAATATGGTGAGGGAAAACAATGGAAGCTTCTACACCAATGAGGTGTTTCAAGAAGTGGAGAAATACATTTGCACAGTGGTGGAGGAGTACATCAAACACGACACGTCGTCGGGAAACTTGCCATTGGAAGTGATCAGAAAACAGGCTAAATCCATAGTGTCTGAGAAGCTGTTGATCCAACTGGCAGGTGCAACAACAGGAGCATTGTTAGGAGCTTTTTGTGGGGTTGCATTTATGGTTGGGCTAGTGATCACAGCCCTGCATAACTCCGGAGGATTCATGAATGTCCTGAAACAGATGAAAGCATTGAGAGGGACTGCAGCAGTAGGCGGAGGAGGACTGGGAGTTGCTGGAACAGTTTTAATTGTAGCTACAACAGGGTTGGCTGTAACAGGGGGAGTGGTAGGTGGAGTGATCGGATTTAAGGCAGCAGAGGGAGCTAAAACACCGATGGAGGCAGTCAAGATGTCATATAATGCTGTCATGGAAAAAGGAAATGATGTCATAGAAAAAGGGAAAGGTCATTTTAAGAGGAAATAACAACCTTTTGAGGGCGTGTTTCTGGTTCTTTAGCTGCTCAATGCACTTCTATGTTCATAAGCAGGTAGAGAACAGTGGGTTTATCCCAACTTTATGAATAAAACCACTTTCTGTTGACGCTAGAAACAAGCTTGATGAGAGTTAGCGGGAGTGGTGGAAAGTAACTAAGTACATTTACTCAAGTATTGTACTTAAGTCCTTTTTTTTTTACATAATTGTACTTTACTTGACTATTTCCATTTAACACTTCTTTATGCCTATACTGCATTTAAGAGGCAAATATCATACTTTTTATTCAACTAAATTTATTTTGACATTTGGTTACTTGGTATATATAAAAACTCTTGATTTGCTGATACAGTATGATATAATGCAGTACTGTAGTACTAATCAACACAGTATTTCAAGTATCAATGCTAAAATACTCTTACAAACAGTATAATAATAATGAAGACATCCATTCTGCATAACAAGTACTTTTACTTTTGATACTTGAAGTACATTTAGCTGATAATACTTCTGAACTTGTAATTGTAATTCTGAAACGGGTCATTGTGTAATATCAGTAAAAATATAAATAACTGACTTTTATTTGTAGTGGAGTATTTTAAGACATAAGTGTTTGTACTTTTAAAGGTTCTGGGTACTTTTCCAACAATGATTAGCGGGTCAGAAAACCAAAATAAGCCTAAAAAGGCTGCATAAAGAGCTGAGGGAACAAAAAGAGTTAGGTAATAATTATTTGTGTGTTTGACACTAAGAGTGACAAATTAAACTTATGCATATTCACTTGATTCATTGTTAATATTACACAAATGCATAAGGGAATAATATCTAGGCACTGACGAACACAACTTGATCTAAACAATACAAGCATAATAGGTTGAGGTAATCATTTATTTTAAAGCGTCAAATCTCTGTACTCATTTGTAAATAAAGTCAAAATTGTTATAATATAATAGAAGTGGGCTTATGCAATCTATATAAATATGTTCGTACTGCATATCTGTTCAATTATCTGACAGTGAGGTTTTGAATCTGGACAATACGTCAAGGTGTGGGATAATGATTGTCTTTTCTTTTTCGACAATGACATGTGTTTCTATATCATGATGCAACTATTTTCTGTTATAAATCTGTCCTTCAACAATAAAAGCAGTGTTTACACACAACCTTTCTCATGTGTCCATTTTGTTTGCCTAGTTATGGTGAAAGTACATTAATTTCAAGTACTGTGCTTCCATAAATTCCATATTTTGCTGCTTTGTTTTATGCTACTCTACCTTCAAGAGACATATATCCTACTACAATTCTATGTTAACTTTAAAACAATTCAAATAAAAAAAAAAACTATAACTAGCAATAGTTGGTGAAATTCAAAAGCTGCTTGGCAGTATATAAAAAAAACTAAAACTCTTCCGACAGCACCAACATAAAAGATAAGAGGATCAATCAATATGGAAGAATTATGATAATTCAATAATATATATATGACAAGTTATTTTGAAATAAGCTTGTGTGGAGAGAGTAGTAGTTCTACTGTTTGTACCTCAATTACATTTGGATGCTAATACTTTTGTACGTTTATGTTAAATCTTGCATGAGGGACTTTCACTAAATGATTTTTTATTAACGTATTTTCTACACCGTAAAATATTATTATTACTTTTACTTAGGTTAAACATCCCAATTATAGCTCTGTGTGTTACAATGTGGCTGTAGGCCTGACTATTGAACCATGCACATACAAGCTTTGATCAACAGGGGGCTCTCTAAAGCAAGAGAGTGCTCCTTTAATACAGGAGCACTCAGGTGAGGTCGACAAGGTCAATACAAGTTGGAGGACATTGACCCTTGATCCTTACACTTCACTATCCAACCTTCTGGTTAAAGCAGGGAGTTTTTAAGTATTTCAATATAAATAAAATGCTCCTCTCTTTGTATGAAACTGGCAGTCAGTTAAATGGCCAGAAAACCACAACATCAGCAAGAGAAGCAATGTGGAGTTGAAGTGGACTGTAATCAGTTCTGCCGCTCAGTATGCCTGGAAGGTTTCTGGGACTGTGAAAAGGAGAAGGGATAGTCCAGCTTCCTGCAGTGCAGGGAGACCTTCACCCTGAGGCCTGCTCTCAAGACCTTCACCCTGAGGCCTGCTCTCAAGACCTTCACCCTGAGGCCTTCTTTCAAGACCTTCACCTTGAGGCCTGCTCTCAGGACCTTCACCCTGAGGCCTGATCTCAAGACCTTCACCCTGATGCCTTCTTTCAAGACCTTCACCTTGAGGCCTGCTCTCATGACCTTCACCCTGAGGCCTACTCTCAAGACCTTCACCCTGAGGCCTTCTTTCAAGACCTTTACCCTGAGGCCTTCTTTCAAGACCTTCACCCTGATGCCTTCTCTCAAGACCTTCACCCTGAGGCCTGCTCTCAAGTACTTCACCCAGAGTCCTGCTCTCAAGACCTTCACACTGATGCCTTCTCTCAAGACCTTCACCCTGAGGCCTACTCTCAAGACCTTCACCCTGAGGCCTGCTCTCAAGACCTTCACCCTGAGGCCTTCTTTTAAGACCTTCACCCTGAGGCCTTCTCTCTAGACCTTCACCCTGATGCCTTCTCTCAAGACCTTCACCCTGAAGCCTTCTCTCAAGACCTTCACCCTGAGACCTACTCCCAAGACCGTCACCCTGAGCCCTACTCTCAAGACCTTCACCCTGAGGCCTGCTCTGTGGAGGAACATGCTGGCGGAGGTGAGGGGAGAACTAATCCTTCTACTTAACTAATACTACAATGGCTACATAAATGCTTTCCCATACCTTTTCCTGTAAACAAATACAACATGAAACCCCTGTAACAGTCCTCTCTCCCTGTTTTAGTGTTACCATTTATCTCCCAATCCTATTGAGAAGTTCTTGTTTGTGAAATGCAAACTTGCAGAGAGATTCGTAACAACTAGTCAAAAAACATATACAGTATACGTTTTGGGGCATTGTCTGCAAATTTGCAAAAACAGTAGTACTGATCGTGGTTATAGTTGTGGAGGTAATTCTGTTTGATTTGATTGTTGCAAAACCATTTCAGTTTCAGAAAAGAAGGCTGAGATCGAGGTAAAACAAGAGCCTACATCCTGTATGACTAATAAGTCTTTCCATCTTCACACTCCTGTTTAGCTCGACCCGACATGTCAAAATGTAGTTTTAATTGTTGTAATTTGGCGCCAACCCTTCCAGTCTCGCAGTTAATAATCATTCTTTCTTTCTTCCTTCTATAATTAACTGGTTTAAAGTCAAACGGCGGTCAAGGAGAGCGTCCAGCTGAAAGAGAGGGAGATGCAGAAGCTGAACCAAGCTGAGGAAAATGTGAAGGTTTGAAATGTAGAAATGGTGAAATACTGAGGATAATTTGAACAGGAATAACAAGTATCCTCTGGCTATGTTTTTTAAAATCAATACAGTCAGTATTATTACCCAATAAATGAGCACTCAATGTCATTTTAATTTGGCTCTTAGTAACCAAAATGTACTTTCATCTGAAAAGAGGACTTTGGACCATCGAGCAATAGACCGTTTATTTTTCTCCTTAGCCCAGGTAAGACGCTTCTGACGTTGTCTCTGGTTCAGGAGTGGCTTGACACGAGGAATGCGACAGTTGTGGCCCATGTCCTGGATACGTCTGTGTGTGGTGGCTCTTGATGCACTCAGTCCACTCCTTGTGAAGCACCCCCACATTTTGTAATGGCCTTTGCTTGACAATCCTCTCAAGGCTGCGGTTATCCCTGTTGCTTGTGCACCTTTTCCTACCACCTTTTTTCCTTCCACTCAACTTTCTATGAATATGTTTGGATACAGCACTCTGTGAACAGCCAGTTTCTTTAGCAATGACCTTTTGAGGCTTACCCTCCTTGTGGATAGTGTCAATGACTGTCTTCTGGACAACTGTCAAGTCAGCAGTCTTCTCCATGATTGTGAAGCCTACTGAACCAGATTGAGAGACCATTTAAAGGCTCAGGAAACCTTCGCAGGTGGTTTGAGTTCATTAGCTGATTAGAGTGTGACACCGTGAGTCTACAATATTGAACTTTTTCACAATATTCAAATATTTTGAGATACTGATTTTGGGGTTTTCATTAGCTATAAACCGTAATCATCAAGATTAAAACCAATAAAGGCTTGAAATATTTCACTTTGTGTGTAATGAATCCATATAATATATGAGTTTAACTTTTTGAATGGAATTAATGAAATAAATTTACTTTTCCACGATATTCTAATTTATTGAGATGCACCTGTATAACAGCTTGAACTAAATGTATTGCTGATGTTATATACAGCCTTGTTTGTCCTTTCAATATTTAAGC